AACTGCAGCCAGGAGCACATTCATTATTGGCTGGATATTTATTATTAAGAATTTCTCTTCATGAGTGACTGCTGCAGAATATTTCAGGCCCCTGCTCTGCTCCTCAAGTGCTCGCCAAAACGTGTGCGAGTCTTGGCTGCTGACAATATGCGCGCGTTTTGCTGTTGACGGAAATATGTTTAACACATTCGCAAGGCAAACACTAGGGCGTAATGACGAGACTTTCATTTTAAACAAGATTAGGGACAATTTGATGTGAAAAAAGTGGTCTCTGGTCTCCACATAAAAACTAGATTCATTCATTTGATAAAGTTAGAGATTTCATACGTGCTTCTTTATTACGCTAAAGTTAGAGAATTCATTTAATCTAATTTTAGTATAAAGTAATTGTTCATTTATCTTGTGCTCTGTAACCGGTGATGCAACACAAAAATTTCCCCACAATGGGACAAATAAAGGATCTCTTAATCTTAATCTACAATTTTAGTCTGTTGGGAGACTTTTGAGCACTCCAAAAGTCGGAATCAATTACAACAAACTTCTTGGTTGTAATTCCTTCTTCCAATTTAAGATCTCTGAAGCTGTGCAGGGCAGGGCCTGGTTAATACTGTGATGGGAGACCTCTGAGAACACCAGGTGCCACAGTGGGGCGGCTGTGGCTGTAATGCACCAAACTGTTGTTGTGTCCTAAGGCAAGACACTTCACCCACGTTGTCTCATTTGAGTGTGTGTGTGAATTGTTGGTGGTGGTCGGGGCTGATGGCTCATGGTTGCCTCGCTTCTGTCAGTCTGCCCCAGGGCAGCTGTGGCTACAGTAGTAGTTTATCACCATTCTGTATGGAGTGAATGAATAATGTCATGTGAATCTTTGAGTATCCTGAAAAGTTCTATATAAAACTGATTATTATTATTATTATAATTTAAAGCTGACACTGCAGTGTTCAAATCAAAATTGTGTTGGTGTTGTATTGAGTAAAACTTTTCCATAAATACACATGAACACAATCAACATGACATATTGCGATGAGTCTTTGAAACTATGCAGGCCTATAACGTTACATAATGTGTTTTGTTGATTTAAATTACACAAATAATATACATAAAGATGTAGTTTTACTGTGATATCTAACTTGGTATTGGATTCTCGTACCTCGCTGTGATGGAGGAGACAAACTGAGTTGGATTCTCAGTGTTTAAATGCTTCTACCTTCTGCAAGAGCGCAGCACAATGGCCCCCACTGAGCTCATCTGTCAAACCAGCAGCATAACATTTCCTCAAAGAGTTTGTGTAGGAACCCACTAGACAGCTGTTAAAACCCACTATCGGTGCCAGGACTCCACTCTCCCCACACAAATTTTAATCAACGCCCAGTGAATTTCTCCAGCAAAAGGGCCGCTGTCCAAGCCAAGCCCCCCGAATCTTGATTTCATTGCCTCCATCTCCTCCTCCTCCTCCTCCCACCTCTCACCGCTCCGTTCCTCTTCAATTATGTTTCCTCCCATTTCTCCTGATCACTTTACGGCAAACGGCACCTGCGCTAATTGTAACGCTGATGATGCTGGGTGTGTGGAGCGAGCTTAGAGGACTTTGAGAGAGCGAGAGGAAGGATGAGAGGATGAGGAGGAGGAGGTAGGAGGTAGGACAGATAAACATTCAGCCGCGGGCCTTTTGTGGGGAGAGTGGCTCAGTCTAGCAGATGGCCATCAGATTATACGAGGAGGCGAGATGCAGGTTTGGAGTTTACATGGGTGGGTGGGGTAATGAGTCCAAGAGGGAAACAGTAAAAAGGAGGCATTTTTGGAGACCTGTTGCAAAGAATTTTAATCGTATGAAGTGCACAGTGTCACCTGCTCCTGACACAGGCCCTATAGTGGTAATGGGTCCAATGCAGAGGGCAGTAAAGTGCTGCATGTTTGCTGTGGGGGAGTAACTGTACAAACTTACATATACAACACTTGATTGGAGTTTTTTCTCAGTCAGCCTTAGATAATACCAAATCCCTTTGTTGGTAATGCATGGATCTGGTGGTGACAAACGTTACACAAGATTATATAATATCACAATTTAAAGTAGACTGTTGCATAATTAATGTTTTGCTTCTGGAATAATCATGATTAAAGTAAAAATAAAAGCAAAATAAGAAGTAAATTACAAAAACAGACAAAGTATCTCTGCTTACTACTCAAAGGGTGACAATTCTCAACATGTTTGGTTATTGGCAGATTTCCTAAAAAGGGGTAAAACTGGATTTTTATTGCAGTAAAATAGACGGCTTTGAAAAAAAATGCTTTGTAAGAGGAAAATTGTACGCCTGTTTTTGCAAATAGACATTTATTTGTAAATCTGCAGACTATATTATAGCATCTCAGCAACATGGGAAACTGTTCTGCAAGAAACAAAGTTGTAATCTTCATCTGCACAGACTATTTAAATCTACACTCTATCAATGTTTTCTTTGTACCCATCACAAAGCTTTATCATTTAGTAAAATATTTGTACCACATCCTCCTCTCGTCGAGACCCATTTCTTCTCTTCCCTAACAGTGCAGTTATATATGTGCATGTCCCACTGGTGCAAGGACGGCAGGGACAGAAGACAACATGAGAGAGTGCAGAGAGTGCGAGGGCGCCCTGTATGGCCCCTTCTGCCCTCATAATGAATGAGCTGCCAGCCCTCCCTGCTGTGGCCACCCAGCTTGGACCACATATTATATAGCGACCTATCTGAAATGGAGCGCATATTATATAGCAGCCTATTTGCTGGGATGATGAGTCCTGGACACCTCCCATTATTTATTAGGACGGGCCGGAGCGCTTGGTGAGAGCAGACGTACAATGGCTTCAGTAACTGGGTGAGGAATGAGCCGAGCACCAGAGGAAGTGGGGAATGATGGTGCAAAAGTCCAGCCCAGTTGGAAATATCTAAAAGGCACTTTAGTGTAGGGCTGGGCAATATGGCAAAAAAGTAAAATCTCGATTTTGTTTCCTGCTTTGGACAACTTCAAAAATCAATTTCGAGTCACCAAAGACAGACTTTGCCCTTAAAAATATTTTTGTATCTTACCGCTCATATATTCAAGTTTCAAAACTATTTTAATTTGTTTCCCCCAATACGTATTGTAAAAGTCTTGTACAGACTGTGCTGATATGGCAAGTATAATTTATGTGCTGCTGGAACTCTCAAAATTTCCTTCATTCGATTTTTTCAAAACCCAATTAATTTCCTAAATTTGATTTATTGCCCAGCCCTACTTTAGTGCATTACAAATAGTCATAGTACTTTCCAATCCTGCAGAGGAGAGAAGCTCTTGACATTGTGATTTTTATTTTATTTGACATTTCTATGATTGTCTGTGTGTTGGTTTACATTCCATACAGCTCTGGGTCAGAGCTACACCCAGTACAGAGCACCAGCCCTCACTGATTCTCCTGCAGGTGGTGAGTCCACAGGAAGATGGCTGCTCTGTCAGTGAATACAACCTTGATTTTTCTGTGGGGGCTTCAGGCAATTTGGGGTTAAGTGTCTTGCCCAAGGACACAATGACAGCAGACATCAGTGGGAGTCGGTGGAGAAGGTCTTGCGGTAGACCTGAACCCACGACCTTCAGGCTCAAAGGCCAGTGCTTCACCAACTGAGCCACTGTCGCCCTGGTTTACATTGGTTTAGATTAAATACATAATCTCTGTGATTGTATTGTGCTGCACAATGGCCAAAGAAAACAGGCCCTGACTGAGTTTGTATGTTTCAGATGATTTTCTGAACCACAAATGTTCTAAATGTTGATACAGAGGCAGCATTGTAAACTGCAATATTTCAGCAATCAGTGTAAAAAAAAAAAAATATGGTAGTGTTCTAATGGGTAGCTTGTCCAGTTCAGTGTGGGGCTCAAGACAAATGGTCTACTTTGCCTGGAGTGGACTGGGCTTTCCCGTCCCATAATGACCTCTGAGGGAGCGGGGAGGGAGGGAGGGGGTCCCACAGAATGAGCTGTGCATCACAACATACTCTCGTGAACATACACTGTAAAAGCAAAGTGCTGCAGTGCACCATCTCCTCTTTGACTTTCACTGTTTAGTCAACAAACAGCTGTAGTTAAAAGCATTTTAAACTGAGTTTAGGGAATGTCCCTTCATAATTTAATAAACAGTAAAAATATCTTGTGAAATTGTATATTTTAGCAGCAATTGATGCAATAAGTCCATCTTAAACTGAAGAGATTTATGACAAATATGTAAAAGAATGACCATGATTATATCCACGCAGAAAATTAAGAATGTACTTAAGAATCGCAACCATTGGAGCCAAGACTAACAGGATTTTTTGAGCTCCTTTTCAGGACTCGTAATCAAACATGCCTCAGGCCTCTGTAAACATACATCCACAGTTTGGCAACATTTCAGCTGTTCTCTGCAGCGCTGCATCCAGAGGCTGAGACACAAACCTTAAACTTTGTTTTATTAAAACAGTGGTACCCTATAACCCAACAAACATCAGGTGTTAGTACAGAGAGGAGCGTCCTCTTACTCCTACTGTCACCATTTATAATGGAGTAGAATATGTACAAACACTATTCAGAACAGTCAGATATAAATTAAGTTTTTGTGGCACATGCGGAGGCAGCTTTTCTTTACCAGTGTGTGCCGTTTCACACATTCATTTCAGAAATGGAACTGTAAGGAGCAGTAGATTCCTTCAATCAGGTTTCAGAGTCACTGAAGAGTGTAAAGAGTTAATTCCAGTGCAAACTCTGCAATTTGGTTTGGTAAGGCCGTGGCTTCCCTTTAGAGCTCAAAGCCTCAGTGTCCTCCACAACAGGATTGTTTCTGTCGCTTTCCAAACTCCCCGTTTGAGCCGTTCACAGCAGACTTCAGTCCTACACCAGTGGTGTATGAGAGACCGTCCACGGCTCCTTATCGCTGAAGAGTTCTGCTGCGATGGTCAGCACTGACTTGACTTGAGCAGACAGTATCTGGAAAACCTTCAGTTTCCCTCCTTTTCCTATACATTTTGAGAGAGAAACCGGACTTTCTTTCCTGAAATAAGCAAACTCTGGAGGTCCTTGATTGTGGGAAGCTTCATTTTATCTTTGTTTTTACTGTAAACATTCAAAAAGATGCCGAAGAGCACCAGAAGGCCGCCCCAAATGTATCTGTAAAAAGGGAGACATTCACACAAGTAAATATAGGACTTTTACTATTATAATTTAGCCACAAAGTCTGCATCATTGCAAATAAGTTACATGGAGGAGATAATACTTTTTTTCAAATACAACAAAAGCTACAACTTTTGAAATAAAGCTAGAGGGCGCAGTACTAAGCACAACTAAGACTAAAGCTGTGTAAGTTAAGGAATAACTAGAAAAAGGCATTTGGTTAAGTTGAGAATGGAGAAAACAATAAACAAGAAGCTACAAGTCCGAGGTCCCAACATGGACTGAGGACATAAAAGTTTCAGCCGTAGTCTGGGGTGAGCTTGTGGACTTGTTAAAATAAAACTAAAGCGATGCAAGTCAAAAGGTGACAATACTTACTGAAAAGTGAAAGGTTTTGTGAAGAACATGAAGGAGAGTACAATAGTCATGGCCTTCCGTCCAGTGGTCACTGCAAACAAGGAAGCACATTTGAAACATTTATTTGAGAATAGAAAAGTATATTGCCCTGTGGCTTATTCAAAGTTTATATCCTACTCAAGGAATACAAATGATTCAACATTTTAAGAATTGTACGGACCTGTCACAGCAACCAAGGCACCAAAGAGTTTAATCAAGGCCAAAACAAAGGAGATGCCAAAGTAACCCGTGAGCGAGAACAAGAATGCATAACCGTATGTCTTAACAGGATGCTGCGGCAAAAACAAAAAGTATGGTATGAATAAGGCAGCGGAGTAGCAGAGTAGAAAGCAGCAGACAGTGAGAAAACAGTGTTATTTATTCAAACATATGCACGCGAACAAGCCTATGTCTCACCTCCGAGCAGAAGGCCACAGCCGGACCCAGGCCGCCCACACAGAGCAGCCCTGTGAGGATGTACACTAAGCCGATAGAGTAGGAATAAAGCACCTGTAAACAATCATCTGTGAGCGGGAGAAAAGTCTGTGTGCAGCCGGTTGCCTTTAATAATCGAGATACCATTTCAGAGTTGGAGCCGTTATGCAGCTTCATCGCCTTTTCCTGTACATTTCCAATAGCAGCGTCAGCGCACAAGGCCAGGGAAATCAGGAGAACGCCTGTTATCAACCCAAACAGTGCATTTTAAAGAACATTTGCATTAAGCCTTTAAAGATTCAATATGATGGATTTTAATCTAGTGTTTGTTTGGTCTTCATCGATAAATGCAATTAATACATCAAGAAATGTATATCTATGTTTTTGCTTTGTTACAGGTCAGTTATAATCAATGATTGTCTAAAGCAAACAATTCTACAGTGAAGTAGACAACCCCCAGATAGAAGCTTGTTCCTTTCCATTTCCCAAAGAACAGAAAGACAGACTGGAGTTTGATCTTTCTCACAATCACAGATAATGAGTCACAAAAGGCCAGAACTACAGGTCCTCAGGTTTAGGAATAAAAGGCCAAAGTCAAAAAGGGTTCAAGAGACAAAGGTCTAAGTAGAAGTTCACATAACGTATTATTTTTTATTCATAACAAAATACATCTTACCTGTAACATTGAAGTTTGGGGCGACTTTGCTATCAGCCAAAGTAAACCATATTAATCCCAAACTCATGCATAAGGCTGCAGACACATCTGCCACATTATACCGTTTTCCTGTAAAAACATCAAATCAAATTATGAATACAGTAATCATTCTTCTTTTACACATTTTATATATTTTTAATAAAAGGAACAGAAAAAGACAGTTTTGATGCAGAGGAAACCTAAGGCAAAACATAAAAGCTTTATTTTTTTAAAGGCCAACCTATTTTAACAATAGAGGTTTGTACTGTAGTTTGTACTAAAGAACGATATGAAAAGAAACTTTACTGAGGTCTAGGTCAAATTTCTGGAATAACAACACAACAAGAGGGTTCTTCCAAAAACAGGGCTGATGGACAGGTGCCCTGAGGATGACAAAGGGACGCGGCATCAGGTTGGCCGAAGTGCGCTTTGATTTCTCTGTTTCAGATGCAACTCCTCACTCGATCCATCTATAGTACTTTGCCCTTCGCATACCAAGTGAAGTTCTGTTTCCCACAGTAGACCCTGAAGGGGTCACAGGCTCCACGTCTTTCTGAGCAGGAGCTGTGAAATCAGGGCTAAACCTGCTTGACAGTGAGGACAGTGAACTTTCACAAGACTGGCTAAAAGGATGAAAAAAGACAGCTGGAGTGACTGCCGACTCCGGATTCTGACAACTATCAACAACAGTGATGAAAAAAGGCTGTGCCAGGAGTTGAAAGGTGACCACTGCATCAAAGAAATCACATGCAATGACTTTAAAGAGTATGTCTCAAGATTAGTAATTTACAGTTAAAAAGGCTCAGCTTTCATGAGTTCTGCCAGTGACCAACATGCTAATACTACTCTGATCTGCCTTTCATTTTTATGCAATAATGAATGTATTTGCAAAATATGAATAAAATAAAAAGATACCTTGTATAAACACTCCTCCAATCATGACGGGTATTAGTTTACAGCACTTGAAGATGACTTGTGTGGGGTAATTCAAGTAGCCCAGAGAGGTATTTGACAGGCCCATTGTGCCCACTGTTAAAAATGCTATTATCATATAAGTCTTTCCCGGAATTCTGAAAAACATGAGCAGAAATGTCACTTGCGTCACTGAGATACAAGAAACAACACAAACAATTCTCTCTTCTCTCATGATAGATTAGATTAATAGATTTTAATCAAAGACAGTACAATCAGAGTCAAGTCATACCTCCTGCGTTTGTCTTGTGTGAGCTGAAGCTCGATGAGTCCAAATGTGGAGTAAAAACCAAACTGAATAAGGGTGAGGTACCAACCAAAAGGCTTGAATCCCTCCACAGAAAATATCAGCTCCTAAAGAAGAAAAAACAGCTTGTTCACCAGAACCACTGCACAACAGATAAGTATGGTATGTTCTCCCTTTCGAACTCCCTGAGCAGTCAATTTGACGGCCTAAACATATGTACATGTTTTATCTTTTATTTATGTAGTTTATTTAGGTCTATGTCATATTTACAAAATTCTCTTTACTTTTGAAATTAGAGAAGTTCTCCTTTACCAGAGAAGAGCCAGGCAATATCTCAGAATTCCATTGTGTTAAATGAGAGCAGTGAAAATGACGGCTCTGGGGGTTGTAGGAGTACTAGTGTGAAATGTACCTGCAGATATCCATAGATGAGGTAAAAGAGGAAGACTCCAGCCACACAGATGAAGAACTGTGTGGGAGCGCTGAAGCTGCTGAGGTTGATGCCCAGGACCCTCAGCTCCTCCACAGATTTGATGTGAGGAGACATGACCTGCTCCGAAGACGAGGGGATGGAGATCGAGATGTGCTTCCGCGAACTGTTGTAGCCCACCAAGCCATATTTACCACTCATCCTGTCACCGACTACTAGGGCCTGAGGACATATACAAAACAAAAACATGTCATTCTTTGTAAAACAAAAACATATTTACCAATTTGAATTCAGCATAGAGTTAGATACTTCAATTAAAAAAACACAGATTGTCAGTCTGTACATGGCTTCTCTTTATTACTTTATCAGTCATCATCAGGACTTCACCAGTAGTCTGTTCATTGCTATTCACCCGCTGGCCCATTGTCCGTTTAATGTATAGACTGTATGTTTCATGGCGTGATGATGGGACCCCCGAATCCGGCCTTGATCCTTGTTATAAGTACTGGATCTCTCTTAATGTGGGCCTCCCTGAGGTTTCTCACTTTTTATCACTGGGTTTTTGAGTTGTCGATGCAGGAGGGTCTTAGGGCAGTGGTGATGATCCAGGACATTTAAGGACGTGTATTAACATTTATGGGCATTGAACATATGGACCAATTGCTCCTATGTGTTTGCCATTATTGCATTTACTGTGTTTAAGCGGTTTAATTCTCTAATCCTTGTTGGCAAATTGATAACTTTGTAAAGTCCTCTGAGACAATTACTGTTGTGGGCTATACATTAATACCTTTAAACAACATAACGACTGGTTATTATTATTGATAAGCTCCTATCTCTCAAAATACCATGTACACCAGGGGTCAGGAACCTATTGCTCGGGAGCCAGACGTGGCTTTTTTGATAATTGTTTCTGGCTCTTAGACTTAGTTGGCAATCATAGTCATTTTTTCTTAGCTCTATTTCTTTAATTTAATTTTTTTATTAACAAACAATACATTCTAAAACTTATATTTCACTCAAAATGTGTTGATCTTGTCTTTAAAAACAAGCAAACAAACATATTCACAGCAAAAATATCCATATCCATCTGATAATACTCCAATTCAAGTCACTTTACCTGTTTATATTATTTCTGATGTTTATTCTGCTCATATTCATATTCTCATATTCTCTGCTGCTAATGTATAATATAGACATCTGTAAATACTTCCGAACCAAGTGCAATTATAGTCCAGTGTTTCTCATTTTTTTATTGTTATCCTTATTTTATTGTCTATTACCTTAAATAATAGACTTATTTGATGTGTGCAATCTGAGTGCTCTTATTTCCTTTCTCTGCTGTAAAGTGCACACCGATGACACTGAAATCTCTCCACTGTGAGACTAATAAAGTTTTATCTTATCTTAAAATGTGTATGGCTTCCACAGAAATATTTAAGTAGGAGACATCTTTGGCTCTTCAAGCTAAAAAGATTCCCGACCTCTGATGTACATGATCAATTGAAAATATTATTGAAAACCATAAAGTTGACCTAAACTACTAAGTTACTACTACTGCACATTGACATGATTGACAATGACACTGGTCCTGCGGAGTCAAAGTCCACTGACACAATACCACGGTAAATGCTCAGAATTGCATAATCTGCTCAGATGTTATTTCTATGAGGGCTCAGCATGTGTACAGTAATCCTCTAACAAGCTCAACATGACATATTAATGAACACATCTCTCTAGTTAGCCTTCCTTAGCATCACAGCAGGTTGCTACATGGCTAAATCTGCGGTGTAAGTACTGACACAGATGCACAGACGGCCAGAGCAGAGCCTGCACATATGTCCACATGTAGCAGCTTGTTTACGAGATGTGTCGTGTTTTTGGCAATAGGTTTTCAACAGTTCATCACTTTAGCTAATACAGCAGGCTTACTACCTTAAACACTTCCGGGGTTCTTTATGGCAACGTGTCCCCGTCTTCAGAGGTAATCAGGTGAAAGTCATTCCCCCGGGAGCTGCAGCTTCATTTTAGCGACATTTCAGATGCTTTTCTACTGAAAGCTGCAGGGATAAAGGGCAAACATACAGACGTGGGAGACACCATCGGCTAATGCTAACTGCTGCTGTGCTACAGACAGGCGGCCAACAACTTCCGCTCCGCCTCTGACCCGAGCCCCCATTGGTCAGACAGATACACGTGCACAAGAGCCAGAATACAAACAAACATACAAACAAACATACAAACAAACATACAAACAAACACACAAACAAACACACAAACAAACAGAGCTGGGAAGGTTGCAGTGAATTGTGATTTTGTATTATTGTTACTATGAAACATAATATATTTGTATTGCACTATTGCTGATTTTATGTCTATTTTTTCAAAAACTTTTAACTAGCTATACTAACTAGCTATACTAATTGTAACTTGAGTTTATTTATATTGTAACAGAATATACCAATTTTCTCTTGTGTGGTTATTTACATACATACATACATACATACCGTACATACAGTACATACATACATACATACAAACATACAGTACATACAGTACATACAGTACATACAGTACATACATAGATACATGCAACCACTTCTGCTGATTGTGAAACGCATGGGTTTGAGAACATGAAAACTACTGTGTACTGATCCAGCTGTTGTCGCCGTGTCATTCAGTACGAATCATGGCAGCATTTGGCAACCATGAAACGCAAATCTGTTTTCTCTCTTTCATCACGCACATATCTTTAAAAAAAAGAAAGAAAAAAGTTGCACTTTTGTGAGTTAATATAGCCATATTATTGTCTTTACTCGTTTATGCTTCCTCTAACCTGGCCTTCACTGTTGCCTACCTTTAGTCCATAAAGCCTTATCCCATTATTCCCTGTCTTCCCATTTCCTGATCCTACTCCTCATAACCCAGCTTGTCCTGCTCTGACTTCCTCTCTTCCCTTCTTCCCTCTTTTTGAGCCCGATTTATTCCCTGTTGCCCAATCTACTAGCCGTCTCTCCCTGCCCCTCTCTCTCTCGCTCTCTCCCTCTCCCCATCAGCCAGAGGTTAATACACTCCAGGATGGCATTATTTCCTCAGCTAGCCCCTCCGACAATATAAAAATTCTGAATGGACAGCTCAATCCCTCTTCCATCTCAGATTTGATTGTAATGGTATTGCCTCCTGTCCCTGGGAGGCCACCGCTGCCTCGCCAACTTGGCCTTTATGACACTAAATGGTCAGGCTACAATTTTTCCATCTATTCAAAAAACTCTGCTAATAACTCACAGGGAATGAGATGTCTGAGCGTGCTCGGCCCACTGCAGCCGGGTCCCTCACCCCGGCTCTAACAGGGTCACTATACACAGAAAAGAAGCAGGGCGGAATAAGAAATGTATAGGCTAATTAATCTCTCTGAATTTACAATAGCCTTACACTGCGATTGACGCTCCCAAAGAGGCAAAAATGTCATATTTACAACCTTGCATGGTGGAAGTGCTTAGTGTATGCAGGCACAGGTGCATAGCTACTTACCACTTTTCCACAGCCACCCAACTTTACAAGTGCAGTCATTCATTGTATGTGATAGATTTATGCAACCAAAGCAATTTCCTATTTCCCATAAGAACCTATTAAATAATAAAATAATTATTTATTGATTATTCAAACAGGTACATATGCAGCAGTAATGGGCTCGTATCACACCGGTGGGTTGGCAATAAATAAGGACATAACAGAGCGAAGGGAGAAAGGACTATAACGGCTAAAATCTGGATCTAATATTGCCTCTCGCTGCGCAGATCAGGAAGGACATTATTCAATCTTCAGGAGGCTCACAACAGGCCACGACCTCCGAATGGTTTTCATATACTGTACAGGCTGGAGAAATTAAAGTGGACAACTGGGCCACTGGCCTGCAGTCGCCAAAAATGGACAGTGAAGATTATATCAACATTGCATTAGGGGGAAAAGCCTTCCTCTGACTATTCAGGCATTTGCCAAATATGTTTAACTGACTTTCAATCTGTTGTTCGGTGATAAAAATGAAAAAGAAAAAATATGGATCGTTTGTTTATTGTTGTATTGATTGCAACTCTGTAATTCTTTTTGTTTTATATCTCTATGATGTTAAAGGACTAATCGTTCAGGTTACAATGTCAACTCACTAGTACTACATTTCTACTGCAGACATGACCACCAGGCCATGTGTGTCAACGTCAAAATTAATATTCTCTTGATTAAAACTCATTTAAATTCTGGGCCTTTCAGAGATGGGGAAATATCACCAAATCTTCACTGACTGAGTGACTTCACAACCAAAGCTGAATCAATCATGGGCATCTGTCCAAGCAAGCATTTCAATTACATCACTCTTATTATGTAATATTACAAATTCAGATTCTGTTCCCAATATTGATCCACAAATAAACACATTATTATGATTGTTGATTTATTCCCAAAGAGAGGATCGCAGTAGAATCACACTTAAAGTCGAGTGAATCCTTTGCACATATTACTCTGAGAACTTCTTAATAAGTCATTTGTGCGCAGCCTTATCCTCTACAGTCCGTGTTCATTGTTGTCTTTGTGTCTCAAGTCTCCTGCAAGCGACGCAAAAACAGATGCTATCTCCTCAATATTACTTCTCAAAGCACTCATATCCTCTCCCATGTTATTTTCTTTGATCTGCTAGACTTGCTGTTCTTACGCACTTCCTCCACCCCCCTCCTCTGGACCAGTGCAGCGCCTTTATATTGGGAAACAGAGAGTGACCACTGCAGAGAACACAACGCTTCCACTCATCTGGTTTGTGTCTTCAGAGGGCAACAGGGGCGCGGAGGGATGGGGATGGGCCGTGGGGATTCTTCAGCTTCTTGCTTCAATACTTTTGCAATGGGTAGAATCACTGTAGTAAAAGTGCAGGTTACAATACCATAGTAAATGATAATGTTGTGTTTGGTAATGAAGGCAATAGGCCAAATTCACAGCAGGAGCAGCATCTCAAATAGTGTCACAGAATAGGATAGAAAATATATCAATTAAGAACTACAACAGTAATTTAGTCATTGGCCCATAACATGACGGATTTACCACAGTGCAAATTTCTGACTGTCTTAAAAAAAAAAAAACAATCCAATGAGACAAAGCCCTTTTGGTCTTGTTTCAGGAACTGTCGTTTTTTGTTCTCATTCCAAGGGAGACATTTCTTGTATCTTTTTAAAACAAGATCATCATCAAATCTTGTTTTAAGGCAGTCCAAATGTGCTTAAATTAAGATAAATTCAGCAGATTGTGAGCAGTTTTTGACTTCACTGTATGCAGCAACATGCATCTCCACAAACGTCATCCAGATCATGTCAGACACTCCTGCATCAGCGGTGAACAGAGAGGAGACCCCAAGACACGTTAGACTAGAGGGACCATGTCTCTCCGCTGACCTGGGAAAGTCATGGGTTATTCTCCCGGGTGCATGAGCGGGAGCAGTCAATGCAGTTTTTTCATCAGCAAAAAAAACAAACATGTATCCACCTTTATTATGACGTTTTTTATTTATTTGACACATTAATCCACATGTGCCAGTTTAAGCTGTACAGAAAAGTTTCCATCTATAGTCCTAAAGGCAAGGTGTAAAATGAGACAATTTGGTTTTGATGAATAGCAGCTGATAATAATAATAACAAATATAACATCAATAGAACTCACATTTTTACTCACAAGTGCATCTTTATTATCATCTTGACTGAAAATTGTACAATACCAGAAAGTCGTCTTAAATGTACCATGGCGCTGTAAAACACTCTTGCTTCAGTCTTGGTGGTTGCACACTTTCACACTGTCGATCGCATCCCATAAGATTAGAAATAAATCTGATAAAGTGTCATTTGAAAAAAAAGTGTTTTACATTTTGTGTCAGAACAAAACAGAGAATGTATAAATAATGCAGTTGGCATGAATTTAAAATATGTATCTTTTTACATACATTGACATTAGCGGAGGAGGTCTTACATTATTTAAAGAACGAGCAGCAATTAATGCAGGAAGTAACAGTTAATGAAATCATCTCTCTCAAATTAATTTATGCGTGGGGCTGTTTGTCTCATTTACATTTCCCATACAGCTCTGTTTTCTTTTGCAAACAGACATTATATGGACACAGAATATAGAGAGAGTTTTGAACTGCATAAAGAAGTGTTTAAGGTCAAACACATGTGGAGACTGAGAGCTGCAGCCAGGAGGGGGAAGCATCTCTCTCTGCTTCAACCACTGCACCTCAAATGGAACTGAACTGTCCAGGGATTTCACAAGTGACAAAGTAGAACTATTTTGACATTTTATTTTTAGAAATGTAAAGGGCCTGTGTGTAATATGCATAATTCATGGTCTAAAAGTCAGTACAATTACAATCAGAATCTTCCTGTCTATGTGACACGTGTAGCTGCCCCAAAGTTGTTTTTCATTTATAAATGTTATTTTTTTGGATTATCCTCTTTATTTAAAGCAATATTTCACCCATTTTAATTCCTCTTATAATCTTCGTCACACAAACCAGCTTTTCTTTCACACTCCCTGTGTGAAAAAAGAACTTGGCAAATACGCTTTCCAATATAAAGCCCCAAACGACTGGAATCTCCTTCCGGCCTCTATTCACTCTTTAACATCTTTTCCTCTTTTTAAAGCTGCTGTACTAAGGCATCTATGTAATGTTTGTAACTGCTACTGAACTTTCTTTTAAACATTATATCCTTTGGTTTTGAGTGTCCTTGTTTGAGGAGTAGGGTGACCTCTGACCTCTGAGAGCTCTGGGTGTGTGTGTGTGTGTGAATGTTTCTGTCCTTGTATTTTTTGTTTGTTTGTTTTGTTTTATCTGTTATTTTATTGAATTTATTTACTGTAACTTGTTCTGTTTTCTATTTGTTACATCATACTGTAACTGCATTTATTTGACAACCGCTGCTGCTACGTGTGTTGCTATTTTTGAGGACCCTCCTGAAAACGAGATGATGCATCTCAAGAGGCTATTCCTTGTAAAGATATGTGAGACTAAAGTACATAAGTGACATATGTTTGTGCCATATGAACCGACTCGGACTCTGAGTCGGTTCATA